TCTATTTGTAATATAAGGAACCACTTTTTTATATGCGGTTTTTCGCTAGCTTGCCTCATTAAAAAGATGCACATGCATGCACGCACGTGGATAAGATAAGTAACAATACCCAGGTGCACACCCTCAAGATACACTTAGCATGGATGCAAAATTTCAGGTTTCTAGGTTCTTTCCTCTTGGAAATATGGTGGTCACATTTCTTTTCTATGTGGTTTTTCGCATAAAAAGATGCACGCACGCACATGAATGACTAATAATACCCAGGTACACACCCTCGGGGTCCACTTAGTATGGGTGAATATTTTCAGGTTTCTAGGTTCTTTTTTCTTGGAGCTATGGCAGTCACGCCTACACTAGTCATCACCACCTACCGCCAACTCTTGGGCTACTCTTTTTACCAACGAATAGTGGGATTGACCATCATATTATAATGTTCCCATGTCCCATGGTTGAAGGAGCGAGCATGTTAGATGAGATAACCCAAAACTAATATAAAGGCTGAAATGTGCATCAGGCTTTAAAAGATGGGATTAGGAAAGCTATAGAATGACTCTTTAAAGATGAAAACAAATGAAAATTGTTTGTCAACAATGAATAACGGTGTGTATGACATAGAAAAGGGCAGTATCATGGTCAATGAACAACATATACAGTAAAGCATGCTGTGAGACCAGTTCAAGTATATGAGCTTCATCCCAGCCAATGGTGTTGAAGATATACACCAAATTGATGGCACCTTGACAGCTAACATGTACAAGTACATTATTATCCATCATGTAATCCCCCCCCAAAAAAAATTATCAGGCAGGGAGTCATCTTCTAGAAATATAATAATCCCAAACGTGCAGAAAATGTGGGGAAATGATACCTGATGGAAGAAGGCAGATGGACCACTTACAATAATGACTTAGACTGCACAAAGCCCTAATATGAGTATTATCAATGTTGTTTTGACTTATATGGAAACTGAGAAGGTCAAACAGCTTTTTTTGTTTGTTTGTTTTGATAAGCGCGATGTTGCACGTTGAGTACCTAAACCCGATTTTTAGAATTATAAGCACAAAGACTTACCGCTGAACCACCAAGAGACAGTTCAATCTGCAGCAAATAACTTTTGTTTGTGGGGAGTAGTACAGAACAATGAGAACAATATAACAATACAATGATAAACTTATAGTAGCATACAAATAAAGTTTGTTTCTCTGTTTAAGGCAAATACTTAATGCTATTTATTACATTATAAAGTATATATATGTATATATATATATATGCTTTTATTTTGTTGTTTTTTCAGTAATTATTGTACTAATGATGCACTAACCATCTAACTGCAATTACTCATTGTTTGTGGCTTCTGTATGTGTATCACTTGTTTTCATAAATATTTCCAATAGTGCATATATATATATAAGTGTGTTTGTGTGTCTAGATATGGTTAATAATTGCTTCAGTGTTTGAATGGCAACAACCTTTAAATGTTTTATAGGACAATACTGTTAATTTTGTAATTAATGACTAATAACCGTACTCTTGTTCATCATCGGTCCATGTTTTGGACGAGGGAAGGTCAGGTTCAGCGTTGACCTCTTTCTCCTATACCCGTACATACAGTAATGATTTGTTTGATTAAAGTGGCGCTAAAAAATTTTGTTTTTAATCGCGGCATAGCGGCTCATAGAATGGCTCCGAGTTTGTTGATTTTTTGTTTTGTTTTTTCTTCAAGTACAAACTTTTAGTTCATAGCTTCGTCGTCTCTTGGCCGATTTGAGATATAATTACAGTTTTGGACTCAGGAGGTCAAACCCTTTTGATTGATGTATTTGACTACGCCCAAAGACTCATAGATTAATTTACTCTAATCCTGCCTAAAATAATTTCAATTTGTGGGTAGGTTGGTAGAGATTCTGATGAGTAATAAAATCGAATCAGGTATACGCGCACCTCACGCTTGGAACTGCTGGGACACAAAAATATAGCTTATAAAAAAAGTCTCATAGATTAATTTACTCTAATTCTACCTAAAAGAATTTCAAGTGCCACGGCTATTGAGGATTCCCTCGTGTTTTTTATCTACAGGAAATTTTCATAAAACCATTATTTTCTTTTGTGGAAATTTGAGTAATTTTAATGGTTAAAATTATACATAAATGTAAAACTATAACAGCAAACTACGACGATTGTTATTAATGAATGTGTTTTTTTACTATAAATCATTGGTGAAAAAAATAACAAATAGGTCACATTTACTTTTAGATTTTATTTTATTAAAGTGCTTCCATCTACAGGTCACTTTTGACACTTAAATATATGTTATGTTATTCTATATTTTCAATTTGGACGACATTTTACCCAACACATGAACTAAATGGCCAAGTTAGAGTCCTCATAGCAGCTCTAATCTTTAATTGATGATAAGAGGGCATTGTCAGCAATTCCTGCCCCTACACATTTGCTCCTAACCTCATAGCTGTAATGGTTATAACGCTCCCACAGCCGAAAATGCGCAGCGTATTTAATGGTATGTTGCGACTCGAACTTTGGCTCTTCCGAGCTACAGCTCGACATACTAATCATTAGGTTAGGCTTGGCTCGTGTGTCCATATACTACAACGAATTACATGAGCTCTTTAAAAACAAATAAGCATTTTCTACAATTCTAGAAACCATCAAGATGTTCACCAAATACTTTTACTTTTTCTAAATCTAAACTAAAACAAATTGATTTTCAGATCAAATAAAAGCATTTTATTACTGTGAATGACAAATATTACTAATTTAAAATGCAAATAATGCATGTGTATACTCAAAAAACTTATGTGATATTGTATGTGATTATTTTACTTAATTTTAAGAATTTGACTTATGTGTGTGTGTGTGTGTATGTGCGTGTCTTCCGGTGGGACAGCGGTATATCTTCGGATTTACAACGTTAAAATTAGGAGTTTGATTCCCCTCGGTGGACACAGCAGGTAGCCCGATGTGGCTTTGCTATAAGAAAAAAAAAAAACAAGTGTGTGTGTGTACGTGTGCTAAAACTCTAAAAAGTTCGAAATTTTCAGTGTGAAGATATACACTAGCCATCAACTAGCGAGGCTTTCATGTAATATTATGATCCAATAATTGTTCCATTTACTTATAAATAATTAACTTTAACTACGGTTAAAAATAAATAAGTCAACATCGGAAAACACAATAACTTGAGCATAGTTCATGCATTTGAAGGTCTGTACCAATGGCCGTTATTATTTATTAGTATGCACAAATGTGTATAAATATGTTTCAGCTGAATAAGAAAATAAAATTAAAAATTGCAACATCCGCTATTCGTTTTTGTGTTTATTTGTTTTAATTCAAAGATACACAATGAACTATCTATACTCTGTCCACCATGTGAAATCCAATCTTTAGCGTTGTAAGTCCGTAAACTTACCGCTGACCCATTGGTGGACTCATTTTTGTTTATATTCAACTTTTTAGTATTTTATCACAGTTCTATGTCATTTTTTAGATTTATAATTATATATAGGCATTTCATGTTATTATTATATATATTATTCTGATCTTGAATTATTTCACAACCTTACAAGGAATACGAAACAATACAATTTAAATTTAAGCCAGTATTTAATTCTTAATGGTGATAGTTTTATAGATAGTTAGATGGCAGCATAGTCTGAAAATAAAGCACATGAATGATACTACGTTTGACTTAACTGTTAGTAAGTAGGTAATAGTGGACGAAGAGTTACATATTGTAGATTTTTGTTAGTTGATTATTTCTTGTAATCAAATCTTTAGAATTATTTGTCAAGTTCAGTCTCAATGAGTGACGTTACGGCTCATGTTATAGAAGGTAAATGGCGATCAGATGACATAAAGCTCCAGGAACAAGTTGATTTCTCGGGGCTAATGCTATCTGAACATGTTTTGTGTGGCTTGAAGGAAGCTGGATTTATTCGACCATCTCCAATACAGTTGCACGCTATTCCACTTGGAAGATGTGGCTTGGGTAAGTACTATATTTTACCACAGTTTGTTAATAGAGCATAATCTTTAAGAAAACCTGTAAAGGGCTAAACTTTGTTAACTAGCTTTACTGCCTTTGGCGTCATTCTATATCCTGTAAAAATACTTGGAAATTGTACACTTATATTTTTACCTGTCAGTATCAATGTTCCATGACAGTCATCCGAAGTGTTAAATTAACAGTAATACTGTGAAAAGGAGTGATAAGAGATGTATGACCATGATCATCTCAGTTGAGTTAAATATATGAAATCCAATCGAAAGCAGTGGCAGCTTAGCCTTAAGCAAGTGCAAGATCCAAGGATAGACAGATCATACACTACAGTCCATTAGTAGGTTATGTGCTAATAAGATGTTTATTTGAAATGAGACACTTAAAAATATAAAGCTACTAGCAGTCTCCAGTATTTTTTGTAAGGCTGGAACTGACAAAAAAAGTAGTTGATTTTATAAAAAGTAACAATAGAAGATTGGCTTTGTGAGCTACGTTAGTTAATATCAAAATATATAGACTCTCACGAGTAGAGAACAAGGAAAGTAAGTATGTATATGTTATAGGAGAAAAAAGGGGTATAAATAATTCCCTATGAAACTTAAAGGACAGTAAGGGACATATTGATCCACTAGGCCATCCTGTCCTAAACTTTAAAAAACTCAAAGCCAATCCATGTCATTTAAATATGTATCATGAAAAAGTTTTAGTACAAGTATATGCCTGCATCTGACCTAGTCATTTAGCCCATGCACTTAAGGTGCCATTCAGTCTGATAATACCAATACTTGAAACAAGTTCTTAAATATCCAGAGAAAATACATCTAAAACTCCTGCAAGTCTCTCCTTGTAACTAAATTGCCTTAAACTAGGAATCATTCTACATGTATTAGCTCATCTGCCCTATCAAAATTTTGTACAAGGCCTACATAATAATCTTGTTCTCAAATTCCCAATTTCTATAAATACATCTAGAAACAAAATCCAAACAAGTATGTGCTATATTTTTCAACAGTGAGCAGTCCTTTTCATTTGACATGTGCTATTTGTCACAACCATGAAAGGCCATATTCAATCACACATCACATTACAATTTTAGATACTCTTGAATGGAATGGAAATATGTTATCTACAAAAATGCATTGAGCAGTATGGTAATAGATATTTAAACACAGAAAATAGCAGCCAAAGACAATAAAGTTGAATTTCTCATTTTACGTTTTCTGGAAATCAGAGATTATTGATACAAACCCATAGAAGGAAGAGGGAAAACATTTGTAAACTTCATCTGGTGTAAAATCTATTTTTCTTTTTTTATATATTTGATAAATTCAATAGCTCTGCTAATATATTGAAACTGTCTTCCATACACTTTCCCATTCACTAAAACTGTTAAGATGTTTTGAAGTAAACAAAGCATTCCTAATATAGCAAGGAATGGTAACAAAAATGTTTTGTAAATTCTGATTCTTGGCAAAATGTAAAATACTTATTTGATTATTAATTATTTGAACTGACTAATTTGGGTAACAGTTACTGTCAACAGGGCTGTTCATACAAAGATAGTTTAGCCTATTTCAACTTCAATGTTCATACCCAGATTATGGTAATATTGTTATCAAAACTAGACAGATAAAGTCATTAAAATATGTTTTTCATTGTACTTAAAAATCTTTTCTTCTACTTCTCTAAATAAATGTTGTTTTTCTGTTGAAGGATGTAATAAATATTAAAATATGTAGTTGTTTTATCAAAACTTTTCTGACACCATGAGAGGTTGTGCTATACATTCTTCAACATATTTATCAGAATTGTTGAATTTCAGACAATTCATTAGATCAGCATTTCCTAAATTATGGGGTACAAATGTTCTCTGGAGGGGGAGGGGTAATGATTGGGGTAGAGTTAGTAGTGCAATCATGTAAAATTGTTTTAATATATTTTTATTAATGAAAATAAAATGTTATTACTACAACACATGTAGCACTTTAATGTCTATCATTGTATTATATCAGTTAACTCATTCTTTCACTCGTTTGAAAAAGAGAGGGGGTGCACAAGAAACCATATTTACTAAAGGGGTATGTGGATGACAAAAGTTTGGGAAATGCTGCAATAGATCATGAGTTCAGTTCATTATGGTCTAATATATAATGAAATAGGCAAATAGTTTAGAATGCAATAAATAAAATTACTTTAGACTGTCCATTCCATAACTCCCATCATGATGTTTCCCTTGGATATCACTTCCTCTCATTAGTCTTAAGTTATGTGAAACATTAAATTTTCTTTTAACATTTTTATAATTTTGAGCAATATAATACTGACTTATTCTTCTTTTTAATAATTTGTATCAAAGTTTTTGGATGATGTTAGCACTTTATTGGTCATTCTTCGCCATTTTTGGAAATGTGATTAAGTAAATGTATCATTATGAAAATGAAAAATGCATGCTGAGCCCACTCACTACATTTTATGGTGCCTAGTAGCTTATGTGCAGTTACGTCCTTACACTATTCATTAAAATTGATAATTGTATTAATGTAACATATTATCAGTCTTTAATAAATTTTTTATTTGACCTTTTAGATTTAATAATACAAGCAAAATCTGGAACAGGAAAGACGTGTGTCATGACAGTAATTGCTTTAGAAAACATTGAACTTAATACATCTGCCACTCAGGTATGCTTCTTTAATACTTATTGTTTTTTCTTATCTGTTAAGAATTTAGCCAACTAAACAAGTTAGTCTAAGGTACTTGAATAATTTGTCTTCTTGTAAATCTCAGAACATAGTTTAAATGCTTAACAGAATGTCATTTTGCCAAAGGAACATATTAACTGAAAGTGAGTGTTAATCACTAGTGGTTATTTACTGATTATATAGAGAAACAGAGATTTTAAACACTGTGTTCTTGACTCACTGTCATTTTAAGTCTTTGATAAAATTTTGTTTGTGAGGAATACTAATTGTTTAGAAAAATATCTTCATTTTTGGAAGACTTAGAAGATTTTTCAGAACAAATAGTAAGATAGAATTGTCTATCATAATCAAAATTAGATACAGTATAGAACTGACTGAAATTGATAAATTGTCTTAAGTGGTCAGGCTGCAACTTAGGTGAATGAGTTAAATGGGAGTTGTTTTTGAAGTTTAATTGGTTATTATTCAAATTAGTGATGTTGATAGCATGTTCAAACTTATGATACTCAGATTTGTGCATAAGACTGGATCATAGAAAATGTGTGTATTTCAAAATAATTAATCAGTTTGACCAAGTGTAATGAAGAGATGGCCAGTATTCAGTAAAAATATTCTCAACATTTTATTTTTTGGCTGTATCAAGAGGTAGACATTCTACTGGACTTGTCTTCAGTACGTTTACTTCTTGAAGCTATAATAGTGAAGAAATTATTTCCACTGGATACTAGCTGTTTCTCTTCATTAAACATCTTTACCCTCCAGTGTGCATAACACTAACTGAATTCTAGTTTGACCACATAGTATAAGACTTGGAAAATGTGCTGTAACATTTAAAAGTGCATGTTATATGTATGCTTTTGAATTTTAGACAAACCCTGTATGTGTTTCTAAAAGAAGAGATGAATTTTGATATTACACTAGAGTGGATGAAATTGAAGCCTTCTGCATAATGCTTGACTCTTACAAAAATGACAAATAAGCTATTATATCAATTTCTACAGTTAATTTATTAAATAAGACTATATGTCATTGTTCAGGTTCTGAACAATGACATATTTTAAAATAGTTAATAGTAAATGCTTAATATTCTTAACTCTTAAACTTCACCTATCCAAAATTCAATTCCAAAAGATATAAAGCAAATAAAATTAAAAACAAAGTGTCAGTTACCATTTTGCTTACTGTGTCTAATTGATAGTTTTGAAGTGTGCTATAATTTCATTTTTACAAATGAACAAGGACTAAGGCAAGTCAAACTTCTTCAAAATCAACAATGCATTGTGATCATTATTAGCATCACTATAACATAGTTGTAATGGATAGCATTTATTATTGGCATTAAAAGTTTATTTTTATTTTTTTATAAAATCCCAAAAGATTTTTGTCCTAGACATACCATAAATGTGGTAAATTACGTTATATTGTCTCCACCCACCAATAAATATTGTTTATCAACTTTTGTTTAGGTATGTAGTTCTTGTATTTTTTCTTTTTGACTAATCTTTTGAAAAATTTTCCATTTTTTATCTATTAAAAATGTGGTTGAGTAATTCATCTCAAAATTTACTCTCATTTACTTATTTTAAGTTTTATTTTCCTTCCCCTTTCTGTCAAACCAGTCTGGACAGTTATTCTTCATAGCTTCATGTACAGCTAAACTATATGAATTGTTTAGATGTGGTCTGGCTACATTAAAACTTTGGGGGTGTAGGCTACTCAATCTAGTACTTCAGGATTCGTAATGATAACAAGAAATGAGATGGGGTATAGCTTGGAAAATAATTCATCATAAAACACAACAAATGTAGTTTTATTATAAAATACAAATGTAAAGGCACAAAATATTTGTATTAAATCATCACCAATCTAGAAAAATTTAAACAAATATTCAGAGCTAAATATTAATATAGATAATAAAATTGAGTTAGAAAAATTTTAAGTTGTGTGAAGACTGCATGCTGTTGAGAGAAGGAAGGACATCTTTAATTAGTAATTATCCAAGGTCTCCAAAATGGACTTGGATAAATACTTGAATTTGTAATTAATAAGTTAAAAATCATAGTTATTTCCTCGTTCTACAACCATAATACAGGCAGAATGTCTTTTAGTTTTAAACATGAAGAATTATTAGCTCTAATAAACCTCTCCTATAACAATAATATTGTCATCACCAGCCTTGACAAAGGAAAAAGGAAAATAAGTTGTACTTCTCAACAAAATTAACTATATTAAAAAAAAGTTCTTCATACATTAAGTCATCATGGCAAATTTAAAATTCTATCTCATAATATACAATGTGAAGAAAAACAAAGATTTTTGAGAAACCTGAAAAATAGAAATGTACATCTGATTCTGTTTACAATCCTGTATCATACAGGCTCCCAACCAAGCATATTATATAGCATAAAAATTCACAAGACAGAAGCTCTCCTCCCCCTAACTTATACTTTCTGCCTTTGGCATTCGTGATTATAAGTTGGTAAAATTTCTGGTACTAGTCTTACAGCCTCTCCCTGCCAATGAATATAGAACACCTCGTTACTCATTTAATGGGTGGTTTCAATAGTACTTCTTTGTTCACCAATATTCCTATTGATGAAACAATTGACATTTGCTTCTCTGAACGTATTAACAATGCTACTTTATTTAATGGATTATCAAAAACTGAGGTTGAATCCTTGCTGCAAATCTTTACAAAAATCTTCACATTCGTTTTTTTTTTGCTAGTGATCTACAAACAAATAAATGGTAGTGTAATGGGTTCTTCTTTCGGAACCACACATGCCAATTTGTTTTTTGCCACCATTTACACACTTGTTTCAACATGTCTTGCACACTACAAACTCATTTGCTATAGAAGGTATATTGATTATACTTTATTATTTTTCTTCATAAAGAACACACCTCACACTTTCAGGATTATTTTAATCCATGACATCCTTCCATAAAACTAACCTTCAAACTGTAGTTTACAACAATACAACACCTGTTTTTGATATGACTACTTACCTCTTCTCACAGTTAGTTATTCTCGATTTGTCTGTTCTCCAGTGTGCAAATTTTTGCTTGCCATTAGCCTTGAAATTCCCACCTAATTCCATGTGTATCCCACTTGGTTCAGCTGCATTTAAGCATGCAAATTAACATAGTGCAACAAACCCTCCTATTGCAGCTGACTCCCTCTATGCAATTGAACCCAATCTTCACTTCTTGATTTGGCACGACAGAGTTAAGACATAGTACTTGACTTTAAATTTAAAAAAATTTCCTTTAGTGAATTTTGAACATATTCAAATTATTGTTTATAAGTTGGATTTCTTTATTTCATTGTGAATTCTGTTTCTCACTCAATTACAATGGCTACTGACAGTACTGGTGTTCAACAGCTTGTGACAATGGCTGCAGGTGCAGCATTATTGGTGGAGGAAGTGTTGACCATAGTTCGTCGGGAGGTGGCTTCTTTCATGTGGGCCGTGGGATCTCTCGATCTACAAGCAATTCTTACATTACCTGAGGACTTAGATCTTGGTGATGTGGACTTGGACAGCTTCCCCCCCCCTTCCTTTGCTGTGTAGGCATGTTCACAATCTAGACCTCAGTCACCATTTTTTAGACTTGATATTACAGATGTGTTGTGTTTTGTCTTTATCACCCAGTAATTTGATCCATCTCTTTCCTTATTAGTTGCAACACCTAGTTCTGAGTTTTGACTTTACCTCCTTTGCCTGATATTGGGGTTCATAACGAACGTTTTCAAGATAAATTACATGTGGGGGTTAGTATGCCATACCCTCCATGCATATCACTGTTCAGCAAACCCACTGGTCATTTAGAAGGACTCTTCCCTCCTTTTTATCACACCTCCTGCTTTATCTCCTGTCTCAGTTCCTCCTCCCCTCCTTAAGATTGCATTTCCCACCAATGTTTCACAGAAGTAGTTCAAGACCTTCTCATTTAGGGTGCCATCAAACAGATTTCTCCTGTCATTCCAGAATTCAATTCCCCTTTTTTCTTTTCTGACCTCAAGAAGAGGTATCCTGTTTTCAGTCTCTCCCATCTGAATCGCTTGGTTGATGTGCTCTCAGATAGGCCTTTCTTCCAAGTCTTTAGATGATGAGATTCCATGTGTATGAAGCATATCTTCACATCTATATTGCTCGGGCTTCACGTCATTATCTATATTTTGTCCACAAGGATCATGTTTATCAATTCTGAGCTCTTCCTTTCAGGTGGACATCAACACCCTACACTTTCTGTTGGATTGTCCCATCATTTTCCCAATTCCTACATTTTCATGGGCTCAATTTCTATCTTTATATAGATGTCTGGCTTCTTCTGGCTCCATCCTTTAGATAGTCTTCTACATTCAACCAACTTCTCATCAGAGAAATTGCTTGGGTGGGTTGGATTATCTAGATGGAGAAGTCCATTATCTACCCTATCCAATGACTTGTTCTTCTGGGGGTGTTTTTTTTCACTTCAAATCTTGGTTAAGCGCAGCCTTCTCTTCTTTGTCTGTGAGTCATGGAGTTTTTAGTTCAGAGGGCACTTTCACCATCTTCACCCCCTGTGCAAGAGGTTCTGTCTCTTTGGGGGGTATTGGACATCACTGAAGGCTCTTATCCCTCTGGGCCATACCCACATGCATTTCTTGCAATGAGTACTACAAGGTCTATGCCACCTCATCATGAACCCTCTGGATTTACAGATATCTCTTCCTGCTTCCCTTCTGTCGAATTTCCTATGGTGGTTAGACAGGGACAAAACGACAGTGGGGATACCTATTCCTTCTCCCAGTTCAGATGTCTATGTCTTCACAGATGCCTTGTTGTCAAGATGGGGTGCATACTGAAATACACAGGAGATCTTGGGAGGAGTTAGGTCTTCACATCAATCATTTGGAACTCCTTGCTATTTATCAGGCAATGGTTCAATTTCTGTTGTCTCTGAGGGTTGTGATAGTTATGATTCATTCCAAT